AACCCGCGTAAAACCCCCAAAAAATAAAAAAAAAAAAAAAAAAAAAAAAAAAAAAAAAAAAAAAAAAAAGACGCGCTCTCTTCTCCCTTGTCGTGATTCCTCTAAGCCTGCTCAAAAGAAACATGGGTTTGGGGGACAAGGAGGGGAGAGAGAAAATCTTCAATCCTAAAAAGTAGGCGGTAATCGTTTGCTTGGAAAAATGGCGTCGCGCTATTAAGTCGCCAGAGCTCTACCTGCCATTGGAGGGGCACCTGGGATTGATGAGGCGCGGTGGCCAATGAGACTGCGCGGAAAGAGAGAACGGGCTCCAGTTAAAGGGGGCGGAAGAGGAGGTAGAGCCAGTCCACGGAGAAACAGGGACCCTCCGCCGATAAAGCGCTCACTCCGAGCCAGAGACATAAATCCGTGCCCAAACTGGACCGCGGTGAATGTTTTTTTTTTCCTTTTCTTTTTTTTTTAAAGTCTTGAGATGCTTCAACCACTCTCGCTTGTCGTGCGCAGAAGACGTCTAATAAGATAATTGTTTTGATCGAACAGTATTTTTCTTCTTCTTCTTAGTTTCACTAAAGCACAGCCAGGAGGAGAGGACACAAGGGAATCCTTCACTTTCGTTTGGATTTTTCGATCCCATGTAAATTAGATTTTTTTTCCCCCTTTGTTAGTTAAATTGAAATCTTTTAGTTATGCGCGGAGAAGCGCTTTTGATTCACGCCTGATATGGTGTTTCCAAAGCTGGAAGTTGCATCGTTGCGTGTCAACATTTGATCTTTTTTTCACCTTCTTTCTTCTTACTGTAATAATAAAAAAAGACATCTGCGCTGGTTTCGTAAAGTAAATTAAATTTAAAAAAAAAATGTTACTTGATGCTGGCCACCAGTTCCCCGGACTGGGAGTGGGTACGTTCGCCAGGCATCACTCTGCGAGCGAGATGCAGGACAGAGACTTGAGTTTGGCGCAGAACAGCTTTGTAGACTCCGCACACATGGGTGCGTTCAAGCTGAACCACGATCTCTCCCCGGGACAGAGCTCTGCCTTCACCACCCAGGCGCCGGGCTACCCCGCTGCGGCTCTGGGGGCCCACGCCGCCCATGTCACGTCGTACGCGAGCTCTCCTTTCAACTCCACCAGGGACTTTCTCTTTCGCAGCCGCGGCTTCGGAGAATCCTCTCCGGCGAGCGGCCAGCACGCTATTTTTGGCCCCACTGCGGGGTCCCTTCATCACTCCCACACAGACACTCAGAGCCACATTCTCTTCCCCGGGATCCACGACCAGCACGGCTCCCACGGCTCCCCGAACGTCCTGAACGGCCAGATGAGGCTCGGACTGCCGGGTGAAGTTTTCGGGCGCTCCGAGCAGTACCACCAGGTCTCCAGCCCGAGGACAGACCCGTACTCGGCGGCGCAGCTCCACAACCAGTACGGCTCCATGAATATGAACATGGGCATGAACATGGCAGCCCACCACCACCATCACCCCGGTGCCTTTTTCCGCTACATGAGGCAGCAGTGCATCAAGCAGGAGCTCATCTGCAAGTGGATCGACCCGGAGCAGCTGAGCAACCCCAAGAAGTGCTGCAACAAAACTTTCAGCACCATGCACGAGCTGGTCACGCACGTCTCCGTGGAGCACGTCGGCGGGCCGGAGCAGACCAACCACATCTGCTTTTGGGAGGACTGCTCCCGGGAGAGCAAGCCGTTCAAGGCGAAATACAAACTGGTGAACCACATTCGGGTGCACACGGGGGAGAAGCCCTTCCCGTGCCCCTTCCCCGGCTGCGGCAAGGTCTTCGCCCGCTCGGAAAACTTGAAGATCCACAAGAGAACGCACACAGGTAGGCCCCTAATTTTAACCACGGCGCGGCGGGGGTGAGGGGGAGGAGTGGGGGGATCTTAGATTTTAAAATAGTGCCTCTGGGAATTACCTGTAAATTGATTTAGACAATTAGGATTTGTGTAATTGTTATTGGCCTGCGTGTGCTGCTATTTTTTCTCCCCATGACATCCTAACCGCGTCTTGTCCACAGAAACTCACAATAGAATCTGATTAAGAGCGAGTATTTTACGGCTACTAAAGTAGATCGCAGTACTGGTAACAAAGTAGATTTGCAACCGAAGCGGCTATCATTCGTTTTTAACCATTGAACGTGCTCTCTTTGGACTCCTTTATAACTATTCTATCGGATGTTAAAGCAGGTCCCCCCTCCCCACCACCCTCTTCTCTCCACCTCCTCCCGGTCGCACCGAACGCTTCCGAACTGGTGCTGTTTACTTTTTATTTAACGTCCAGTAGAAATGGGTCAGTGAGAACAGTGGGAGCGCTTTGCGTGCGCAGCTGAGCAGCCCGGGCTGGCGTAGTAAATCGCATCAGCTCGTTCACGAACGCGCTTTAATAGCGCTTATCTCCTCCGCTGCGCTCCTCTCCCCGTTGCATCGCGTTTTATCTGGGCTTTATTAATTAAATATTTCGATCTCGACTCGTGCATCTCGTTGTTGCGGATCGCAGCAGCAGCAGCAGGGGGAAAGCCTTTTGTTTGCGCCCCTTCTGATATGAGCTGAGGTGCTAGACTGGGCCATTATCAGCTACTTTTTTTCTCTCTCTCTCTTTTTTTTAACCGCATTTGAACGCATTTTCTTGGGGGGAGGGGGATACATGAAATTGATCACGTGCTAATTAGATTTTTATTGTCTTCGCACCAAATGGTATGCCTCCAGTGTAAAGGCCCAATCGACAACGGCCTTCCCACCCCCCAAACCTCCCCCTTTCTAAATCACTATGCGCATTATTTAGGCTAAATAAGTCTTCCAACTCATCCCCTCCTCCTCCTCCTTTATCCACACTCGTTTTAAAATCAGCTGCCTAAACTTTAAACACCACTGCTAGAAAGAGAGAGAGAAAGAGAGAGAGTGAGAGAGAGAGCGGGGGTGCGGAGGGATTGAATTTTTACGCACAAATCTTGTTGTTTTACTTACATCAATGCAACACCTGAGGCGATTTCATTAAGAAAAAAAAGACATTTGACTCATATGTATATCTGGTTGTTGTTTTTTCTTCTGCAGGAGAGAAACCTTTCCAGTGCGAGTTCGAAGGATGTGACAGAAGATTCGCGAACAGCAGTGACCGAAAGAAACACATGCACGTCCACACGTCGGACAAGCCATATCTGTGCAAAATGTGCGACAAGTCCTACACACACCCCAGCTCACTACGAAAACACATGAAGGTAAATAATATCTGGTTTATGGAACAGTGTGTGTGTGTGTGTGTGTGTGTACTATGATGTCAATGATCAAATCTCTGGTTGTGTCTCAGATTTTGCATCGTAATAACTGAGACTTTTGTCAGCTGTTTGCAAATGTCAACATCTGCCTGTTTTTGTTCTTGTTTGTGTTTTGTTTTTGTTTTTTTTGTTTTTTTTATCTTCAAATGCTTGATTCTTCTTTTTCTTCTCTCATCGACCAGGTCCACGAGTCCACTCCATCTGCGTCAGACTCATCGCCAGCTGCAAGCTCCGGTTATGAATCGTCCACACCCCCGGGCCTGGTGTCCCCCACCACCGAGACCCAAAGCAACACTACCCTGTCCCCAGCCTCAGCTGTGCACAACACCACCAGCCACAGTGGCCTGTCCTCCAATTTCAGTGAATGGTATGTGTAGGACTGAGCTCGACAAAAAACAACAGCAAGCCACACACACTTCACAGCACTGGGACATTCCACCGGATATACTTTTTATTTGGAGACACACACACATAAAAAACAAACAAACAAACAAACAAACAAAAATCATTTATTTTGTATGTTATTGTCCACCAGGCAGGATGATGATGATGACCAACAGAGGAAAATGTGTATTATAAATAAATCGTAGAAGGGTGTGTTTCATACTGTAAATAGGAACTTAAAAGGAGAGGAAAGAAAAAAAGAAAAAAAAAATCCACGTTCCCATTTGGTTGTGGTAGTTTTGTCAAGTCTTTTGGTGTATAGATGTTCCTTCAGATAGCTGTTTCTCTAACTGGAATCTTAGTGCACATATTACCATTAAAACCTGTACAATACTGTTGAATATTGTGATCCTGAGGCAAACTGATTGTACTATACTAAAACATTTATAAACTGGAGAGAGTGCCAAAGTTAACCTTCTAACTCCAACAGACCACAATAACCATGATCGTGAATGTATATTTTAGTTTGCTGGGGCTTAACTTGTGATGTTTTGTGCTTTGCAAGTTCGAATTGTGAAGAAGAAGAAGAAGAAGAAAAAAAAGAGAAAACACTATCTGGAAAGATTGTGAGGTCAAATAAACGTTGTGTCGTTTTTTCAATTTATTTTTATGTTTTGTTTGTTTTTTTTCTTTTATTTTTTTGTTCTCTACCCACACACCCTTTCCTTTTTTTGTTGTTTTTGTTGTAAATATCAGCTGCCATATTTATCCATTTGTAATTAAATTATGGTATTTACTTGCTACAGATGAAACAGTATTTATAAAAAGAATGTTTCTTTACCTATAAATATGTACAATGACGAGCTACGAACACGGGCAGTTGTTACGTTCTGTGCTAATTTTTGTTCAAAGTTTTAAGAGGTGTTTCCTTCCTTTAATTGTGATAAGAATTTTACTGCTTACAAATATAATAAAAATGTGTTGCAAGTGCTTAATAATCCTTTTGTCATCTTTTTTTTCTTTGTTGCTGCTGTTAATGTCGCTGGCTGCTGGTGTTTTGGTGTCTGAGCTGCATGGTGTTTGGCATCTACCTTTGGAATGGATTAGGGCCTTCCAGAAATGCTTGAGGTTTCAATTCTAATATTCAGGTTTGCATCATGACGGATGCTGACAGGCTCTGTCAGCATCATGCGTGCTTCTTGGGGTGCATGCTCTTTCAAATCCAACTTAGACAGAGAAAAAAAAGTGTATATATATTATATATATATATATATATATATATATATATATATATATATATATATATATATATATATATATATATATATATATATATATATATTTTTTATTCAT